TGACCTGCAACCCACTCCAGTACTCTTGCCTGGAAAATCCCATGGATGGAGGAGTCTGGTAGGCTAGAGTCCATGGGATCACAAAGAGTCAGACACGACTGAGCGACTTCCCCTAATGTTGATATAAGAAAAGCAATTTAAATTACATACATGGCCCATGCTGTATTTCCATTGGAACTCTTTACCCTTCTGTGTAACTCCAGAAGGTTCTCCCTTTCCCTGTATCTTTCACTAGATCTGCAGTTCCCAGTCCAGGAGCCATAAGCCACATGTGGGATTTTAAATTTAAGTGAATTAAACTTAAGCAAAATGTGGAATACAGTTTGCCCATCACATTAGCCACATTTCCCATGCTCAGTAGTCACATATGATAAGTGGCAGAGCACAGATACAGACCATTTCCATCGTCGTGGAAAGGGACAGACCTGATACAGTTTGTACACAGTTACAGCAAAATCCAAAGAAATGGAGTGTGAATGCTTCAAGTTTGAGGAATATTTCCACGGTGCCTAACTCTGCAGCACATCACCCTCCCACCTTCCAGAGCCCATCCTGTCTCACTTTTGTCAAAAGTGTTTATGCACCTTCTCTCCTACAAGTGGCGGGAGAGCATGTCCTTCCTCTGAACACGCTTTCCCCCATCCTCCTGTCTGTACGTGTATCTCACACTGTGCTTATACAGTGTAGGTCCTCAGTTCAGATTTGTTGGCTGGTTGGAGTGGCTATTCCTAGCAAGAGATTAGAAATATGTGGCTAACGTTAATAGAAGATCTGTAATGACTGGTTCAGTTCAGTTCAGTCACTCAGTTGTGTCCGACTCTTTGCAACCCCATGAACCGCAGGACACCAGGCCTCCCTGTCCATCACCAACTCCTGGAGTCCACCCAAACCCATGTCCATTGAGTCGGTGATGCCATCCAACCATCTCATCCTCTGTCATCCCCTTCTCCTCCTGCCCTCAATCTTCCCCAGCATCATGGTCTTTTCCAATGAGTCAGCTCTTCTCATCAGGTGGCCAAAGTGTTGGAGTTTCAGCTTCAGCATCAGTCCTTCCAAAGAACACCCAGGACTGATCTCCTTTAGGATGGACTGGTTGGATTTCTTTGCAGTCCAAGGGACTCTCAAGAGTCCTCTCCAACACCATAGTTCAAAAGCATCAATTCTTTGGTGCTCAACTTTCTTCACAGTCCAAATCTCACATCCATACATGACCACTGGAAAAACCATAGCCTTGACCAGACAGACCTTTGTTGGCAAAGTAATGTCTCTGCTTCTTAATATGCTGTCTAGGTTGGTCATAACTTTCCTTCCAAGGAGTAAGTGTCTTTTAATTTCATGGCTGCAGACACCATCTGCAGTGATTTTGGAGCCCAGAAAAATTAAGTAATGACTGGTAGCAGGAGAATGAAAAAGAAAGAGAAGGTCAAAGCCAGGTTCCCAAGGAAGAATGACTGGTAGAGAGACAGGAAAGAGGAAATCAGAGGGAGCGTGGTACCCGGCATCTCACACACATCACCATAACCCCTCTGCCGGCCCCGCAAGTGTCTCACAGGCAGTGGAGGGACTTGTTGCAGTGGTGGGGGGTGGGGAGGGAATTCAGGCCCTAGACAACAGCTACAGAAAAAAGTACAAAAGAAATCCAAAATATTATTACGTGATAAATAAACATGCAAGACCCATAAATGAGAATTAGAAATGGTGTGAAAATCAAGGGTCTGATGAGGAGAAAAATGAAAACTGTTCTCTCCCTGGGCCAGCTGGTTCGAGTTACATTTTATGAGCAGCATGTGGATTCCAGCGCCCTTGTTGAATTAGCAACAGAATCGCACATTAGTTTTAAGGCTCCCTCTCGAATAGGAACATCATAACGCTTTTTAATTGGGGCTGATAAAAACGTAGCATTACTTGTAGGTTCCTGAGAGAAGTGAGTTGTGAAATTGGGTTTTCATTAAACCTAATGATGGAAAATTAAGTATAGTGCGTCTGGTGAAATGGGGTGTGATAAAAGGCATCACTTCTGCATTATCAGAGGTTAATAAGGGAATAGGTGAAGTAAGATACATTGGGAAAGGGAGTCCAACTAGTTGAATTAATAAACCTTGAAAATCCCTTGGTTCCGAGTCTTCACAGCATCATTAGCACCAACGCTGACATTATTACAAATGTTACAATGATACAAGTTGCTAAATTTCAGACACATTTATTTTCCATTCCAGTGTTGGTTTTGCTGACATCGAGTTTACAGTCTGTCTAGCAATATGTTTAGAGGAAAACATTCATATTGGTAGCTGTTTGGCTTTGGAAACACTTGGCATCTCACAAAAATCATCAGGTGCTTGATCCTAAGAAGTCTATCTCTGCTAGATAGCTGGTCTCCCAGGCCACCCAGGCCCATGGGTCTCTGAAGATATCTGTCCACGTATATGATGGTGGCTTAGGTGGGAGACACTCCCAGGGCTCTAGGCACTGACTCTGGTTCATCCTGTCCTGGAAAACCATGAAGTACAGCATCTGGAGAAGCAAACCCAAGTGTTCCTTTCTTCTCCAGCCCCACGGGTGATATTCACCAGAAGGATGCCACATATTCATGGCAGCTGGAACGCCTACAAGTCATATGTACTGAGTCGCTTCCATCATGTCTGACTCTTTGCAACCCTATAGACTATAGCCCGCCAGGCTCCTCTGTCCATGGGATTCTCCAGGCAAGAATATTGGAGTGGGTTGCCAGGCCCTTATCCAAGGGATCTTCCCAACCCAGGGATTGAACCTACATCTCTTCTGTCTCCTGCCTTGGCAACCTGGTTCTTTATCATTGAGCTATAAGACATAATGTGTCTTTAAAGAGAAGGCATTTTCTTAAAATCCTTTCTAGAGGCTTGAAGGTTCATAGACATTCACACCTCTCTAGGCCTACCTCATTCCATATCTTACAACTTTACCCCCATCACCTCTCCACCCTCCGCCTCCACTCCATCCCAGTCCCCTTGCTGTTACATAGATGTGCTTGGCTTTTCCCACTTCTCCTCCTGTGCTTCCAGTGGGCATCCTTGTCTGTCCACCTTACAGGGGTTCCAAACTCCTGGGCCACAGACTGCTACCAGGTCATGGCCTGTTAGGAACCCGGCTGCACGGCAGGAGTGAGCAGCCAAGTGAGTGAAGCTTCATCTGTTTACAGCCACTCCCCATCACTCGCATTACCACCTGAGCTCCACCTCCTGTCAGATCAGCCAGGGCAGAATAAATGCAAAGCAGTTGTATCAGCCCAAAACCATCCTCTACCCTGGATCCGTGGAAAAATTGTCTCCTATGAAACTAGTCCCTCATGCCAAAAAGGTTGGGGACCACTGTACTAGACTGTCAAGGGTGAAACCTGTCTTCTGAGCATTTCCAGTGCCTGCCAGAGTTCCTGGCACAGGGTGAAGTCTCAGTAAATCTTAACTCCCAATCACAAGGGTGTGATGGAGGAGGGACACAGTGCCCACATTTGCCATCTCTGTGTCGAAGCAGTGCCAGTGCAGATGTGTTACCTATAACCTCACATCCGAGGAGAAAAATAAATTGTATTTTCCTCGTGCTTGCCAGGAAACATGTGCATACATCTCACCTTCTTACATCATGTGCTTACATCTAGGCCCTTCTTCCTGGTGCATAAACCTGTAAGTTCTAGTCTTTCTGTTGGCAATTGTTTCCTTACTAGGAACAGCTTTGCTCATGCTCACACATAGGAGGGAAGTTCACTTTTACAGAATCAGTGTTTGATGGATTATTGTGACATAGAGACAGACTGAAAGATGCATGGGTTCTGCAAAGAAAAGTTGCAGAAAATGAGGAAATACAGCTAAACCTCCTAGGAAATGAGTGTGGCATAGCCCTCATGGGGTCTGCCTTGGTGCCTTGCAGTGTCTGAAAACATCTGGGTGAGACACATTAAATCTGGCAGTCCTCATCTTATGCACACCACAAACACCGAAGTCTAGGGCATAGACTGTCCACGACTCTGGGAGGAGAGACAAAGCCTGAATGGTTCTGAATAAGATGCACTGGCCCTAGAACATTGACAGTGTGTAGCTGGCAGGGAGTTCAGAGGGTAAGAAAGTGGTTTTACTGGTACAAGGGGAGCAGAGGAATTCAAATTCCACCCTCAACAGGCATCAGTTTTGAGGGTGGCCCAACTAATATGGGGCAGTGAACTCAATTCAATGTGTCTAAAGATTGTTAACAGGGGAGATTGTAGATCTTATACCAAGGAAAGGTGATGAAGGAGATCAGGTATACGGCCCAGACCTGGGAGAAGTAGCTGAAGGAGGAGGTTCAGGCCTTTCTACCTGCGAGGTAGGCACAGCATCACTCCAGGATTAAGACTGTTACGTGCTGGGGAAATCAGACAGTAGGCAGGAAATGATCACACTGCAGATGCCAGAGCTGGAGAGAACAGCTGAGAGGGTGAGGGTCCCTGCTTTTTACTGTGGATCCAAAGACTGGCTCCAATTCCTCCCAGAGTACAACCTGAAGGAAACAAACTAGTAGAGAAACCAGGTCACAAGGATACAGTCAAATGGACCAGAAGCAGACACGTGGCTCTGTTCTCCAGGGACCACCAAGACATTCCAGGCAGGCTACAGGAGGGTGCCCCCAGTATCCAGCCTGCCCGGCTTCTCACTGGTTCTGGGATTGGCCTGGATTGGCCACGACCACCCTGGCAAGCCTGGAGGACGGACAGAGCTGACAGCCAACCTGGGAGCTTGGCTTTACTCCACAAAGATGCACCCTTGAAATAGAAACAGACCGCCAGTTATTGTGTCTGTTTGTTGTTTAGTTTTTAAACCCGCCACTGCAGCCAGGCCAGGGAAGCCACACATCTCTGATCTTTCTGAAATTCCCTGATCAGTAGTCCTGAGTTGGTTCCCTCGGTCCTCCCCGTGTCAAGCTGGGGGAGGGACAGAGGACAGAGGACAAAGCTCCTATAGGTGATGGCCTGTTCTGCCTCCTTCTCTTTGAAGCAGATGGCAGCCGCGGGGAGCTGGCGCAGCCCACCCTCACGATCCAGACTCACCCCTACCGAGCCTGCGACCCCGTGGAGATGAGCTATCCCCGGGACCAGTTCCAGCCCGCCATCCGGGTGGCTGACCTGCTCCAGCACATCACCCAGATGAAGAGGGGCCAGGGCTACGGGTTCAAGGAGGAGTATGAGGTAAGAGACCACCCTGCAGGAAACTCCCTCATGGGCGCAGAAGCCTCATGGATGCTCCAGTCTTGCTACTCAAAGTATGGTCCAGCAGCGTCAGCAGCACCCGGGAGCATGTCAGAAATACACGGTCTCAGTCCCCACCCAGATCTGCTGCATCAGTTTGGAGTCATATCTTCCTTCAGTAGGAAGAGAGAATGACTTGAGCCCCCATCCTACACATTGAAGAAAAACCAGCAGGTGCCTTCCAGTGATTTCCAGGAGGTCTGCTTGCTCCTGGTCACCTGTTGCCTCATGGTCACGCTTCTATTGTGTTTTCAGCACCCGCCCCAGTCAATATCTCATCTGATGACCACCGTCCCCCCTTTCTCTGTACCTCTCCCATCCTTGCTTTGGAAAACATCCCTTACCTTGCTCCCCAGCCTGTCTCTCTTGCCAGGGACGTGTGACAGCAGTTGTTACTGAGGTTTGGGAAATCACAGAAAGGTTGCCTTACAGGAAGCACCTGAATACAAGTCCTTCTGAGGCCACCTGACAGGTCTCTGTCCACTTCCTTCCCCAAAGTTCTTTTCACTGTCCTCAAATTTTCCTTTTTTTCCTCCTCCTTTTTTTCTAGCAGCCAAAAGAGAACTCCCATACTCCGTTTACTTTTTTTTATGCAGAACAATTTAGCTTTCTTTATCTCACTCCTTTTGTTTCACTCCTTGCCCATTAGGCCTCACCTTTTGCAAGCAAAAAGTAGAATGAAAAAAGGATGAACTCATTAAGATGTTTTCTTGCCCTAAAGAGCACCTCACTCCCCTGGAGGAATTTTGCACCCTTCCTGTGCCAGTCAGAATGCAGCTGCAAGCAGCTTTGGAAAGAGCATCTCATTCTTCTCTTTTCCTCTCTCTCCCTCTCCTCCTCCTTTCCCAAAATATCTTTTGAGCATTTACTGTGTGCCAGGCTCTGGGTTATTTGCACTGGGTTTTCTTGTGGTGGTGGTGTTTTTTCTTTTCTTCACATGCAGCATGTGGCCCAAATATGCTAGGTTCAGTTTCAGTGTGTGCAGTGAAAATGCGTTGACTCAGATGCTACACATTTGGAATTCTTGATACCAAGGACTAAGTTTAACTCTCAGACTGTATTCTGAGAAAGCGCTTACACAGCAGTATTTCAGAAGCTGTGTGAGGTCATGAAATTGTGCCAAACTCTGGGGGAGGGATCCAGACCCCAACGCAACAAACTGTGTGGCCTCTCGGTTTTGCAATCTGACTTTTAAAAGTCTTTATTAGTTGAATGAAGAGTTTGGATATGGTGATTACTAAGGGCCTGTCTGGTCCTAAAACTTTATGAGAGTGTAAAACACGGTAGCAAGGGGAACGTTTGACACATTTATGAGAACAAAAACGTTTATGTCAATGAATGTAAGTAATTACCAGCTCAGGAGAACTAGCAGTTAATTTCAAATATGGTCTAGGTAAAATAGCATTTTTCACATATCCAATCTATAAATTCTGGGAGGATATTGGGATAAGAATCGCAGGAGATTGTCTCATCACCTCGCCTCCCTGGGCCTTATTTCCTAGGAGGTTGCTTGAATGATCTTGGTCTCAGGGGGCTGTGGGGTACAGCAGCTGGAAGCAGGACCTCAGTCCTTGTCTGCTTTGAAAAAAAAAAGTTCAGCAAAGAGACAAAGATTGTGAAGCAGATAAACCGTTTACTAGAAGTGACATACATGTGGAAGAATCCACAGGTGGACTCAGAGTGGTTTTCGCCCAATAGGAGTGGCTGAGCTCGCTTATATGGGGGCAGTTTTCCAGGTCCCCTCAGCCAGTCCTCTTGCTCATGTGCATATTTGGTCTCACTCAGGGCCCTCTCCAATGTGCATGCACATCTTTCAGCCAAGATGAATTTTCTAGTGTGAGGGTTTCTGGGAGGTTGGCAGGACATATTATGGGCTGGCACACACCCCCCCCTTCCTTTGACCCCTGAGAATCTTTTCTGCTCACATGTGGTCTGGGATATCTCCTTGATCACAAGAATGAGAAAAAGTGTGATCAGCTCATCTTTTATTCAGGCAGGGCTCTGTTGTTATCTCTTGTTCTGAAGTGTCAGGGGAGACTGTTTGGAGTTGCTCAGCCTGGGGCCCATCTATCTCCTGCTTCAATCCTAAGCCCTTAAAGTGTGTGTGATGGGGGGAGGGGGACACATGTATGTGCTTACACTCACTTGTGTAGATCTGTCTGCTGAGCGAATGTCAGGAGAGGGTGTGTTGTTTATAAAGTCATGGCCAGTATCATAAAGGTTGCATAAGTCATCAGTCATAATATTTAATTTGTTTCAAATTTTCAAATAGCATTAAGAGATCAATCTGTGTGACTTATCAGAAAGGGGGCCAAGCAGTCAAAGCCTGAGGAACACTGTTCTAAGAATTTGCAATCTAAAATTTGAAAACAGAAATACAAATACATTTGCCAATTTTGGTGCACTGCCACCCAGAATGATGTCACTTTTAAAATCATCCATCCCTGTATGGTGGGATCTGGGTTGTATTTTTTTTCTTTTTTAACATTCCTTTCTGTGTGTGTGCTTTTTTGTATTTTCGAAACTTTCTAGCATGGAACTTAACTGCTTTTATAGTGAGAGAGAAAACAATACATGTTGTTCCATCATTTGGACTTCAACCAGAAATAGCATTAAGTAGACTAGACTTGCCCTCAATCAGTTCCAATTATACTAATCAGTTAGCTTGAATGCTTAGCTTCTAGTTAACAGTATTTCCTGATTAACTGGAGATTAATTAAAAACATTACTTAATAGGAGTCTTTCCACAGTGTCTTTCCACTAACGGAGACTGTAGCTGGATGTTGTTTTGATCATCAAGGCTCCTGTGATGTCTGGAAGCTACAGACTGAGCAAAGAATCACAAATCTACTTGAAGACCATTTCCTATTATAGATAGAAGATTCCCGGGTCTTCAGGCCTACTCTCAAACCCACACACATGTGCTCTGTCTGTTGCCTGTCACTCCCCTACCCTGCTCAATTTTTTCATACAAATGAGTGGGTTTGACAAGTTGACATATAAGGGACCTCTCAGCTGTAGCAAGCTGTGTCTTTTAAAATTCAGTTAAGTTTTTCAGTCACTTACAAATTTTTTCATTAAATATTTACTGAGTATTTACTATTCCCAAGGACTGTTCTAGATATTTGGGATACACCAGAGAACAAACATGGACAAAGATCCTTGTCCTTGTGAAACTTGTGTTCTAGCAGATAGCCTCTAGCAGAGGAACCTCAAGATAAACAATAGACTTAAAAATAAGGAAGTTAGTTTACAATAACTTACTTACTGTAATATGTTAGTCAATAATATAGTGTGGTAGACCGTGAAAAATACTGTGTTACAAACTACCCTAAATCTTAGTGACATAAAACAACCAATTTATCATGTGCATTGATTCAGTGGATCAGGAATTTGGACAGAATACAGCAGGGGTCATCTGTCTCTACACCATGATGTCTGAAGCCTTGACTTGGAAGTTTCTATGGCTTAGGGCTGAAGTGATGTGGGAGTGTCTTCACTCACGGCTACCAATTGATGTAGGCTGTCATCTGGGATCTCAGCTGGGATAGCCAGCTGGAACACCTGTACTAAGCTTCTTCAGGTAGCCTGGCTTCTCCACAGCATGGTTGCCTCAAGATCCTTGAACGTCTTACGTAATGTCGCAGGGCTCCATTGGTGAGCCTGCCAGCTAACAAAGTGGCAAGTGCATCACCCCTTGTGACCTACGCTTGGACACCACAGAGAACACTCCTACCACTTTCTATTGGTTATAAGCGAACAAAAACTGCCTATATTCTACGAAAGGGGAGTTAGGCTCCATCTCTCTCTTTTTTTTAATTTATTTTCTTATATATTTGGTTGTGCCAAGTCTTTGTTGCAGCACATGGGGTCTTCAGTTTTCTTTGCAGCATGTGGGGTCTTTTGGTTGCAGCATATGAGCTCTTAGTTTGTAGCACGTGGCATCTAGGTCCCCTGACCAGGGATCACACCCAGGCTGCCTGCATTGGGAGCGCAGAATCTGAGCCACTGGCCACTTAGCCACCAAAGAAGTCCCTAGACTCCATCTCTTGATGAAGGGAGGGGCAGCCGCAAGATCTAAGAGAGAATACAAAACAGGAGCAGGTGGAAACTCTGATCTGTGGCTCATACAGTCTTCCACAAGGAAGTGCCATGGGAAATGAAAGAGTTCGGGGAAGGGAGGGGGTGTATTTCAGGAACACGAAGTGAAGGAGGCTCCAATACTGGACAGACTGAAAGGGCCGTCTTTAATTATGAGATGTGGGCAGAGACTTTGTGAAAAATATCCAGAGGGAAGGAGTCCAGATTAAGGGAGTAATGTGTCTGGCATGTACAAGGAGGTCATGAGTGAGGTCACGGAGGTCATGTACAAGTGAGATCAGTGAGTTCACTGAACACAGTGAACATGGAGGAAAAACAATAGAAGGTGTAGTTGGAAAAATAAAGGGGGCCTGACCAAATAGTGCCTTATATAAGGCCCTATAGTTGAACCTGGAGGAAAAGCAATACAAGGTATAGTTGGAAAAATAAAGGGGGCCTGACCATATAGTGCCTTATATAAGGCCCTATAGTCGAACCTGGAGGAAAAGCAATACAAGGTATAGTTGGAAAAATAAAGGGGGCCTGACCATATAGTGCCATTATTAGGACTTTAGGCTTTTACTCTGAATGGGCTCGAGAGCCGCTGCAGCGCTTCCAGAAGACAAGTGATAATTTCTTGACATTATTTTGAAAGACTGATTCTAGTTACTATTTGAAGAATGGAAACAAAGGAAAGAAAGTGTAAAATTAGGGAAGCCAGTGGAGAGGCCGTGCGGAAGCTCAGTGGAGAGATGGTGCTGACTCATCTGGAATGTGGCAGCAGGGGTGGTGAGAAGGTGTTGGACTATGAGTGTATTTTAAGAGCCAACACAACAGAATCCTCACACATCGTACATGGA